AGAATCGCGCCGGCCAACGACGGGTTGAGCGCAGGCGACACCGCGCCCAGCGCGGACAGCGCCTCCATCAGCACCGGCATCGGGTGCGACGAACGCGGGAACGCCGACACGACCGCACGCGTGGAGATCGTGTTTGAATAGCAATCCGAAGCGGACCGGGGAGTGTCGAGAAAAATAGAAACGTGGGTGCCGGCGTCGATGAAACGAGGGACAGGGTCGGATGGCGACGGTGGGTCGTCACAGAATCACAGGATCTTTCCCGTCCTGTAAACCGCCCTCCCCTTCGCCCCCGAACCCTCCGCACGGTCTTTCCTGCTGAGGCATCCATCCGCTCTTCGCGGACGGCGGACGGGACTTCTGTATAGTGCTCTTAGGCCCTCGTTCTCATGTAGTATTCTTGTTCTCATGTTCTCATGCACCATGTACCTGGAATCGCCCCATCCCGCTCCCCAAGGCAGCAATACAGAAGCCCACGCGCCATAAGGAAGTGTGTCCTTTTTTGAGGAAGAGACGTATACTGTAGCAGAAGTATGGCACCACGGAAAGCTGTGGATATGGGGTCTGCGTCCCATTTGGCTGCATCTCCCTCACTGCCTTGTCCTCCCCTCCGCCCACGACCTCAATTTTGCGTTCAGAAAAGGTGTGTACTGTATTAGTTCCCTGTCGTCCTCAGCTTATCGTGATGTTCGCTCGAGTCGAGCCTGGTGTCCATATGCGTGAAGACGTAATGCTGCAACGTGTTCGTCACGGACTAGAGTTTGTTAGAGCGCGACCAGACGCAGGAGGACGGATTGGGATGAAGAGAATAAGATGTATCTGGAATGCTTTTTCGTTCTATTCCACAAACATCTGCTTTCTTCATATACCGAATTTGAGACGAAGAGGAGACGCGGCTTGTTTTTGCTCGCTCCAAAAACAAAAAACACCGATACAGGCATCCACGAACATCCCCTCTAACTCGGAACGCGATCTCGTGGGAGCTTGACACAGCAGACAGTGAGACAGAGAAGATAAATGTGATGTCAACGGAAGAAGGTGGCATTGGGACAAGAATAGTAAAAACATATTGCTAGTACACCGTTGCCATGCCTTTTGAAATGTATACCTCATGCAAGACTACAGGCAACAACAAATGAAGTGAGGTTGTTCGGCAGGAATGAATGAGCCTTTATGGGGTTTCGATACTGAGGCTGACCCTCTGCAGATCATAAACAGCCTAAATGCTCGACGTTGCCACATGTGCCAGGCGGCCCACAACGTTTTCCGCAATACCGCAATGCACTTCAGGGGGCAGCACTGAAGTATTGTATGCTCAATCCTCACGAGGACACTAGTCCTCAAACACAAGTCCAGATCGGAACTGCTGCAACATGCCTGTTTCATGTCCGTCGCTGCATAAGCACAGTTCTACTGTGCGGCAGCAGAAGTCACCGAAGCAGAGACATGTGACGGGCACAGCAAGTGGGGTGCGTACAAGTGGAAGCGGGAGCAGGCCCTTCCTGTCTCATGTGTGACGGTCCCACAGGAAGGGCAGTCAGAATTGGAAACGACATGTGACGTAACGGCAGATCGGTGAACGGAGGAACAGTACTGTAGTACTGAAAGGTGTGACACGTGGCATGGCTCCTTCGAGCAACATGTTGCCAGATGGACTGAGCTGAGGCGTCGCCTATGTCGTCGACAATGGTGCGAGGAGTGAAATAGTTGTTTGATGTGCAGATGGTTGATGTAAAGGTAGAGGGGATGTACGGGTAAGTGATGATAGAGAAGGTATGCAAGGTAGAGACGAAGGCGGGCGGAAGGTGAGTGGGGCTTGGACGCTCAGCGGTACGAGCTGATAGAAGAACAGGAGCAAGGCATGCGAGCGAAGCTGGGATGGACAAGGTGAGGATGGGAAGTGGTTAGCCATGCGAGGCGGGGCGAGTGGAATTGAGGAAGATGGAGATATGGGCGTCAGAGTCGGGACCGACGACGACGCGAGGGCGAGGGTCGGACGCGGGCTGGGGAGAGTGGTGAGACGTCGGGGCGGGGGAGGCAGGTAAAGGTGATGTTCGACGGCGGCAGGAAATTGTGCGAGGAGTCAAAGACGAAGGTAGACAAAATGAGAGTGGGGCATGGACATTGAGTGGCACGAGCTGTTGGATTACAAGGCTTGCAAGTCGAGACAAACATGGCAGAGATCGTATTTGATTTAGCAATCCAAAGGGGGTCGGGGAGAATCGAGAAAAATGGAAACGTTGGTGCCGGCGTCGATGGCACGAGCGACAGGGTCGGGTGGCGACGGTGGGTCGTGAGTTTCCGCAGCGGGAGAGGGGGTTGACGATGATGTTTGAAGGCAGCAGGCGTCAAGAGCCCATTTGAGAAAAATGCCGCTCACGGCGGCAAGGATGGTTCCCACGACGCCGAGAGTGGGAGTGAGCCAGACCCAGGGGGAAGACTGTTCCGTCATGGATGGCGGGAGAAGGGAGCGGCGGTAGGGGTGTCCGTTTGCAATGAGGAATGAGAAAGTGCGGTGGGTCGGGGGGCATGGGAGAGAGGTGGGCGAATATATATACAGGGGAGGGGGGGGGGGGGGGGGCGGGGGGGATGGATGTGCGCCTCCGCCAGAGCATACCAGACACCAGGCCTGTTACAGACCACTGCAAGTGCGGTTAATAACGAGAGCTGTGGAAAAGGGGGGCTGGATAAGCCACGCTGCTAGAGGATAAGCCACGCTGCTTGAGGAGTGCCACTCATTATATAATAAAAAATGTAAAAATCGCGCACAGAGGGAGTGTCGGGATCTGTAGCAGAGGGACCGCAAAACTGGGTTTCCACGCATACCGAACCGCAATCACCGCAGCTCAGGGTTAGTCAGCAGTGCACGAGCAGACCCGGCCAAGCAGCAGGAGCAGACAGAAGCCAAAGCCTGGACGATCCACCTGATTGGTTGCTGTGATTTTAAGCGTCCAATGAAAATGTGAATGAAAGTGTGCCGGTCTCTCGGGGATATGCCCGCTGCTGGCGCGTTAATACAGTGTGCGAAACGCAAAATAAATACACCCATCGTCGAAAGGGTTTTCCAGCAACACATGCCGAAAACATAAAAAAGCACACTGTATGATATCGCAAAACACACGGCGGGACCGATTCCGGGCTCGGATTGGCTCTACCATAAAAGCATGGACCGCAATCTTTAAAAACCTTTGCGAGACGCAAATAAATACGCGAAACGCCATGTAGGCCCGCTGGCGTGCATCCTGAAGAAATCCATGCACTCGCCACGCCCATACGTGTCTAATCTGCCGCAACCGCACACCGGAGCCAAAGGCACCCAACGAGCACAACGGATTCAAAAACCAGCCTGTTAAGACACGCCCTCACGCCCTGGGTGTGTCTTAACATGCCCCGTTGGTAGTGTGTCAGGGTGTGTGACAGGGTGTGTCTAAACATGCCCCGTTTTGCTGCGTGAGGGTGTCTCCCGAGCCGCATCCCTAATCCCCTAAATTGGGGCATGAGGGGATGTGCAGAGTATTTGTCTACCGGCTGACGGGGACATACGCGCCGTGACAGCGGTGACATTAACAGGTTTGGAGTGCAGACATACTGGATGTCTGCACTATTAAAAAGTATCGCACTGTAGTGCAGACATATCCAGGCGACAAAATTTACTCAACCATTCTCCTTGCAGTACTCAACTTTACCCTGCACCTTCGCGCTCTCCCTTTTCGCTCTCCCTTCCCAATCCTCCGATATAAAGGCCATGCTCAATACTACCGGTAGTGGTTATTCACATGAATTTTGAAGACACCACCGCTAATATTCTTCACGCCCGACAGCAGGCGCAAGTTACTATCCTCTGTATTACTATTCTCTTGCGACACCGCTTGTCCCTGACTGTCACTTGCTATGTTCTGCTTTCTATCAAGCCCACCGTTCCCTTCGCATACAGCCCCTACCTTCTGTCGCTTTGAATCTGAGTCCTTCAACGTTTCTCGTCCCTGATCGTACCTTAAACTATTTTCCTTTCCATCTGGGGCGTCGTGCCTTCCACATATAGCCTCCACGTGTTACTTTTTCGGCTCCGAGTCCCCAAAAATTGCAGCTTGTTGCTGCATACCTAGAGCGCCCCTTAGATTATGGTAATTTTTCAGGGATGCTAGATCACAGTGGCCAGTCCGCATCGACACATTCACACCGTTTTGACCATCCTCAAACAGTAAAGTCACAACAGACCCCCTCAACCCATGGAGGGTCATTCCTCGCTTCACTCCACTTCCTGTGATTCCCTCATGCTCACATACTCTCCCCATGATGCGCGAGAACCCATTACGACCGAGATGCTGGCGTTTGAAAAACTTTTCAAACGTTGTTGCACGTGCATGGACTCCCATAAAAAACCTGTCGCTGCCGCAATCCATCGCACTGCAAACGCGCATGTAGTCTTCGATATCCTCGAACAAATTTGGCTTTCCATCTAAACAGTTCCGGTTCCATACACAAACCTCCTGAGGCTTGTCCTTTACAGCCTTCCAACCCCCCATCGCTGTTTTCGAGGCACTATCGCGGCTTCCAATCACTCCGCAAATTTTCCATACCTCTTCGGCCCCAAAGGTTATCTTCTGCACCTGGCCAATTGTTAAGTGCACCAACGCCCAAGGACGCATTGCTGTAATTAATGCGATTCCAAATACTAGACGCGTTTGAAACCCCAGCGGAGTTGAGCGGTCGAGCAGAGGCGACTCGTACAGCTTTAGGACGTCCTCCGTTGATAGCACATTGTGGCTCTCTGCCACAACTCCTTTAGATTGCTGGTAGCTGAATTTGTTGTCCAAAACAGCCATCAGTCCATCTGTTGGACTGTTAAAAATCTTCCCTTGCAGCACTTTGAGATCATAACCCCACTCTGATTTAAATGCTCTTTGCAGCCCCAAAATATAACCCCTCATAGTGACAGGCTTAATCTCGTCACCAGATGTAGACCGATAGTTGACCGAAAATTCAATCAAATAGAATCGTACTGTTTGCAGCTGCTGAACGGTCCCAGCGGTGTCACCAGCTGGTAGATGCCCGTAGTCCCCATTGGAAAAAACAGCTTTTCGTGTCTCAAAAAGTTCCCAGTCTAAGCGAGCCTCACCAGTAAGAATGTGGTCGCGGAGGTGCTCTTTGCCCTTAAATGCAGCTCAACGATGCCCGGGGTGGAAGAGACAAATCGAGCGAGCGCTCGAAGAGAGGAAATGTGGGCTCGTGCCGTGTTGGCGGGAACTCGCTTTCCGAGGAAGCTCTCCGCTGCCTTCGAATGTCGACGAGATGTAGATTGGGGTGTTTCGGGGATGATAGTATCTAGGACAGTCGACACTGGAGGTGGGGTCCCGGGAACAGAATGAGGAGAGGAAGTCATGCTGCGGGGTTGTGCGGCGTTGATTGAGGAGTGAGGGGTGAGGGGTAGACGTAGTGTGCGAAGGGGTGTGCGACGGGGAGGAGTGTGCGAAGGGGAGTGTTGTGCGAAGGGGTGTGCGAGAGGGAGGGGTGTGCGAGGGGGAGGGGCGTTGACGGGGGGAGAAAGAATGAAATTGACGGCGGCGGCGATGCCCATGTAGGTGTGTCATGCCCATCCGTGGCAAGGCATTTTATGATAAATTAAACTGGATCACTGTCAGCCGATAGACAAGCATATTGTCGCCTCGATCCCATCGTGCAGACACGCTGTGGGTCGTGCGATATGAGGCCCTCGGCAAGCCTCGGTGCTCATATCTGCACTCGGCGCGTGTCTGCACTCGAATCGAGGCGACAACCCCTACATGTGTGGCAGCGATATCTAACAAATGTGATGACTACCCTTCGTACTGATCACTCTTCTTTTTTACTTCCGTGCCCTTCTTGATCCGAAGTCTAAGGGACCCTCGCCGCCACATCCGCTGGCGTTGTCAGTCGTGTCCACTTGTCCAGCTGGACAGGTTGCGTCATGATAGTCAACAGCAGTGCTAAAACGTTTCTCCAGAATCTGTCAGCAACTGCTGGGCCCCTTTACTGTAAGATTTACAATTCCAAAATCTAAAATCCAAAAAAAATCTACTTTTCACATCTTGGCCACCATACCCCTCTCGTCCTCCACCACCACCCCACTCACGCCCTCCTCCCTCTCATCCACGGGCGGCACCTCCCTCGGCCCGACCTCGCCCACAAACCTCTGGTGCGGCCTGGCAATGCGCCGGTCCGGGTCGTCCAGAAACTCGTTCCAGTGCGCCACCCACCCGCCGCACCTGGCGAGCGCGAACAGCACGGGGAAGTACCCGGGCTCGAACCCCATCGCCTTGTACACGAGCCCCGAGTAGAAGTCGCAGTTGGGGAACAGCTTGCGGCTCGCAAAGAACTCGTCCTCCAGCGCCGCCCGCTCCAGCGCCACCGCCACCTCGACCAGCGGCTCCTCGCTCCCGACCCGCGCGAACACCTGGTGCGCCACGTCCCGGATGATACGCGCCCGCGGGTCGTAGTTGCGGTACACCCGGTGTCCGAACCCCATCAGCTTCTCCTGCTTGCCCTTGACGCGGGCGAGGAACTGCGGGATCCGCTCCACGCTCCCGATCCGCTGCAGCATGCGCAGCACGCCCTCGGTGGCCCCGCCGTGCAGCGGCCCGTACAGCGCCGCCACGCCGCCGCTCAGCGCGGAGAACAGGTCCACGCCCGACGATGTCAGCTGCCGCACCGTCGCCGTCGAGCAGTTCTGCTCGTGGTCCGCGTGCAGCAGCAGCAGCAGCTCGAGCGCGCGCGCGAACACGGGGTGCGCGTCGGCCCCGAGCAGGTGGAGGAAGCGCTCGGCAAACGTCAGGTCGTCGCCGCACGCCGGCGCCAGGAACGCCGGCGCCAGCCCGGACACGTGCCGGAACACCCCCGCGCACAGCGGCGCCATGGACCCCAGCGCCTTGAGCTGCGCGCGCGCGCGCGCGCGCGGGCACGCGTACACGTTCGCGCCGGCCAGCGAGGGGTTGAGCGCCGGCGACACCGCGCCCAGCGCGGACAGCGCCGCCATCAGCACCGGCATCGGGTGCGACGAACGCGGGAACGCCGACACGACCGCACGCACGTCCGCGTGCACAAGGGAGGCGGACGGCGCGTACAGGGCCCGGCGGAAGCGCGTGAGCTGCGCGCGCGTCGGCAGAGAGCCGTAGAGGAGCAGGTGCAGAAGGTCCAGGTAGGAAGCGTTAGCGGCGAGTGACTCGATGGGGTAGCCCCGGTGGCGCAGGTGGCCGGCCGCGCCGTCAATGGAGGTTATGGCGGAGGTGTAGGCCAGAGTGTGCGCGTAGCCGGGGTCGTACACGCGGAGCTTGTGGGGGGTGAGGGCAGTCGCGGAGAGGACGCCCGGGGAGAGCGGGGTGACCGTGACGGTGAGCGGTTTTGAAGGGGCGGCGGGTTTCGCGGCGGGCGGCGAGACGGTGGGCGAGGCGGGGGGGACCGCCAGGGCGGCGCGCAGGAGGTGGGTGGGGGCCGGCATGGTGAAGATGGGCGGGCGGGTAGGGAAGGAGGAAGGAAGAAGAGGGGGGGAGGGTAGGACGGGAGCCTGGGGGAAAGGAGGGTTTAAATGGACGAGGGAGGAGTCGGAGAAGTGGAAGAAGGAGGGGTGCACGAGCAAGCTGAAGAGGTTGACGCGAGTCTATCAAATGGGCGCGTTGACTGCCCCCCGCGATTGGACATCAGCCGACACGCCACGAGATATGCCCAGATTCTCTGCTTCATTCGTGTCGTCCGTGTCCACGTGTCCACGTATGCCTGTAATTCAGTTGCTGACACAGCCTTCCAAGACTTTCCATTGGCCGTCGGTCCGCCGTCCTCGCTGGCAACTCCGTCCTCCGCCGCTTCCTTCTTTTCCCCGCCGCCCCACTCTCCGCCGACCCACTCCCCGCCTCCCCTGCACCCACCCCGTGCACCACCACGATGCCGCCCGCCGCCGCGCTCGCGCTCCCCTCGCCGGCGCTAAGCCTGTGCGCGCATCCGGAGCGCCCACTCCTCGCGGCGGGTCTCTCCTCCTCAATCCTCATCGCCTCGCCCTTCTCGGGCTCGCCGACCACCTTGGAAGCCCCGCCGTCGCAAACGCTGCTCTTCGCCACGCCGGACACGCTGCTCTCCGCGCACGCCTCCCCGGAGCCGCATCTGCTGCTGCACACCCCCTTCTCCTCCGCCGCTCCGCGCGCGCTTCCGCACACGCACGCCATCACGGCGCTGTCCGCGCTGCCCGGCGCGCAGTTCCTGGCGGGCGCGGCGGACGGGTCGCTGCTGCTGTACGACGCGCGGCTGCCGGGGGATGCGGTCGCGGTGCACGCGCACCACCACGGCGACTACGTGTCCGCCATCGCCCCGCTGGGCTGCGCGCCGGGTGAGTCTCCGTCGCGCGTGCTGGCCGCCGCGGCCGACGGCGCGCTGCTGGCGTATGACCTGCGCGTGCCGCCGCGCCCGCAGCTGCTGATGCGCGCCGCCGCCGATGAGTTCGAGGACGACCTGCTCTCGCTGGCGGTCGTGCCCGCGTGCGGCATGGCGGCGGCGGGGACCATGTCGGGCGCCGTCAACGTGTACGACTTGCGCTTTGCGGAGGGCGGCGAGAAGGGCGAGGCCGCCGCGCATGTCGACCGGTTTTACGGGCACCCAGAGTGCGTTAACGCCATCGTGCCTGTGGGAGGGGACGGGCTGGTGGTTACGGCGAGCTCGGATGGCGTTGTTAGGGTTGTCGATGTTGTCGGTAAGAAACTCGTGGGGGTCCTGGATTATGAGGGCGGGGAGATGGAGATGCGGAACAAGAAGAAGAAGAAGAAGAAGGCGGAATTGTGGCCGGTGGAGGATATGGTCAGCGTGCAGGGCGTACACAAGCCACTGTTCGCGCTGCTCGGGCATGAGGACGTTGTCAGGATTGTTGACGGGGCTGTGCTGGTCGACGACGACGATGAGGAGGACGAAGACGAGAAGGAGAAAGAGAAGGAGAAGACAAGGGAGAGGGAGTTGGAGAAGGAAGAGGCCGCCAGCGATAGGAAGAGGAAGAAAAAGAAGAAGCGGCGGACTACATTCGAGGAGGACAGACCGAGGGAGATGAATACCTTCTTTGACGACTTGTAGATAGGATGGAGGTGGTGGGTCTGCGTGGTGTGCATTTCACTGAAAGTTTTCGTCAATGTGGCGGCCCTCTGGCGACGCGGGCGATGTGGCTTCTCGAGCCCTGCCCTTCACAGAAAAGACGGGTTTCACGCTCTCACCCTTTATGTAAAGTATCAAACCCTGTTAATTTATACAGCAGTACATATTCATTCTACAAACTTCAAGAGATAACAGAGCGCCTGCACGGCACTCCCTGCCCTTGCAGTTCCGCATAAGCAGCAGCAGCTTTGTCTTCTAAGCGCAACTTTCCCGAGTTACAGCTCCAACTAAAGACTCGGCGATTGAAGGGCAGCCCCAATTCCAAACGCAGGCCCGGACGCTGCGAACACGCTTCCGAAGCCCTCGAGACCAGAGCCGGCGATGCCAGAATCTCCATCAGCAGCAGCTCCAGCAGTTGTCGCTCCCGTCGCCTTGAAGCCAGCGCCACTGTTCGCAAGCAGCCCAGTGATTTGGGATGGCAAGCGGACGAGAGGGGTGGCAGCAACCACACCGAGAAGAGCAAAAACAATGACAACAGTAGAGATCATTTTGTGTGTTGTTTGAAAGCTTGAAAGAGTGCTTGAAGTGAGTTCGAGGGAGTGAGAGTGAAGTGAGCTGTGATGGGAGGGCGGATGTGAGACATGGCGACGCACGCCTGGTTTATATGTTGTTTTGATTCTAGCACAAGCCCTACCATCCGAGTTGCGCCATGACCCTTCCCGCTTATGTGAATGAAGCTTGCGTTCAAGGGGTCGTAGGATAGAAAATCATGCCATGTTAATGACCCATTTGCGTCCATAACGCGGGACGTTGCTCACTTTCAAGTGCTTTCGCAGAAACTATGGAGACTGGCATGCATGGACCGATTGCGCCATCCGCCATCGGCGCAGGCAATCTGAGCCACTTCTTATCGAATTGACAACAACGTGGCTAGTGATCTTTCGGCCATGTGTATTTTAAAGCTGCAGTATTGCATGGGTTTTCTTGCCCTCGGCCAGTTAGCAAGCCGTCCCTCGTTAATGTTGGCCGCACCCTATGTCGCTTTTAATTGTAGGCGAAAGCATACCGCCCTCCGCCAGTTCAATAGTTCAGGCAGCCAGCACATGGCTGACGATGAATGACCCTTTTTTCGCACCCCAATCATCAGGCCATTCCCTAACTTGGCTAAACATGCGGCAGTCCCTATCAAATACTCATCGATTCAAGCACATTCCAAGGCCCATTGATACTCGCGCTCTAGGCCTCCTCGAAACGGTCAGATGATCAGCAGTATCTGCTGCACACGTTACGTGTTAGATATAGAAAGTAGTCGTACGTGGCTGCACCGAGAATTTCCCGCACCGAGCTGCACGAATTGTTGCATCAGACTTCGCAACTCTTCATGCACTTTTTTTTTTTTTTTTAGTACTCCGTGAAAAGGTTGATTTAAAAAGGCACAAATGACGCTACTTTGGCCAAGTGTCGCAACAAAAGAGTGTGATTAGATATTTGTTTTGGTCATATTTCGCGAGTGTGGAGACAAGTTATGATCCCATACTCTCCAGAAGTTATGATCCCATACTCTCCAGATGGACAAAGGACACAGAACATGAAAGAGCCTCTTCATCCGGCCAGCTCCGACAATGAGATTTTTTTTGAGCACCGTTATAAAAACGAAAAACATACAAGGAATGGGAGGCATAAAATAAAGCCCTCCCTGTCGATACTTCTGTATTCGCGAGAAAGCCTCGCAAAAAGGCAGGAAGTAGCCTGGGTCATTTCACAGGCACGGTGAATATTTGGGACTTGGTCCGAGCTGCATGACATGGGAAGCCCCCGCACAATATGAGCACTGCTAGTGATCATCCAAAGGGTGACTTTCACTTTCGTCTTTGCGTTAAACACGACTAAGCCCTCCAGATGACGAGAATTTTTTGCGATCCAGTCGCAACGAATTCATTTGCAACGAATTGAACCTCCTACTTGTTGCCTGGTTCTGTGGTGATCCAAAATGCACGTGTTGGTACCAGAGTGCTTTAGAAACATTGCCAGTCCCTGAGGGCTCCGTATTTCCGACATTCAGGGTCCCACATGCCTTTGCATCTGTCAAACTTGTTGCCATTCTACCCACTTCAACAGGAATGTGCAGCTCGAGTCAGCTGAAGTCGTTCTTGAGAGGAAAACACCCAGAATTTTAGTTACTGTACTTGTGTCGGGCAGGGAAGGCTCGAATTGACTCTATGGTCTCGTATAATCATTTTCATAGAATGATATCTTTCCATGACAAAAGTAAGCACCCATGTGAATAGCCCAGTGCTCTTCTCTAACATTAGCAGGTACCAATGAACAACTTTAAGCTATCGGATACAATACAAGTTGCTGTTCTACTCAAAACACCGTGACACTTACTGGCTGGAACACATCTGTTACATACATCCTTTTTTACGGTTACGAGCTTAGAATTGACAGCACTACGTCAAGTAGAACTTGATCTTATTGTCAATACTAAATTAACTGGAGTCAACTCAGTACCCAGGATGACATCCCCAATGAACTTGACATCAATAACATTGCGGCTCAAATTATTCTCGGGAATGGCGAGAACAGTGCGAAGATTTGACCACTCTTGGAATTTACCACTCTTGGAATTTACCACACACACATATTAAAAAGTGAAATTCCATCAACATGCATCAAAAGCATAAATCGACCTTCCATAGACCTTCTTCAGTGATACTTTGGTAGCATTTAAATAAGTATCTCCACCTGCTTAAAGGGAAGGGGAGGCGAGGGCGGCACCAGTGGCGAAGCCAGGGCCAGCTATGCCGAGAACGGAACCGATACCCTGGACCCCTGAGGAAGCAACGCCAGAGTCAGAGTCCGCGGCGGCACCGGCGGCGGTAGTACCAGTGGACTTGAATCCACCACCTTTGCTGAGCATACCCTGAATAGAGACCGGGGTGGCGGCGACGGCACCGATGAGGGCGAAGATAGCAGCGATCTTGGCAATCATTGTGAGAAGGTTACGGAGGTTTTGGGAATTTGAAGATTTGAAATTGCTGGTGGGAGTGGTGAGATTTTTCAGCTGCTGAAAAGAGCTGCGCCTCTCTTAAATAGATAGCAAAAATTCCTTCCGGTCATCTTTCATGAGTGCTACCGCTAGGGCGGTCCGCTGGAGAGGATGAGGTATTCGGGCTAATTGATAATTCGCAAGTGTTGACACAGGAAGGGGTGCAGCATCGTGGGGAGGCCTCGAGTATTTATGCGATGAATGGGCCACCATAAAGGATGAACTCGAGTTGCAACGAAGCATAGCCTCCTATCCTGATTTGTGTTTGGCACAGCGCCGCAGGGGGCATAGAATGTGGGGTTCTATGAAGAAATTGGTTGCGACAAAAAATGTACCGAGTTATGTTTCAGTTAGGATGCGACTGTAAGACCGTACTCCTTTTTTCTGATTTTCAGAATAGTTTACAGGTAATGGTTCCAACGTACAAGGCCCACATCAACACTGCACTTATACCATCTGGCACCTACATTAGGGCAATTGTAGAATCAAATTCCGCTTAAGATGTCACACACGACACCCAAGTACGTTAATGCAGTCACTTGAAAGAAGAAATACAGTCAGAGTAACTGCCCGTATTGCAAAGGGGCGGTTTTGTCCAAAACGTTCATGATGTAAAGGCGGCAAGTTTCGATGACCGCATTGGCCATGTCTATGTTCCAGAAGCGAAAAATCGCCACAGTCCAAACCTGCGAGACATAGACGCCAATGAAAGAGGTCAGATGTGCGGCGGGCTGCTGACAGGTGCAGAGGGGAGAAGGCTACATAATGAGCAATGAACGAGTGGGGCCATGACAATATTCATGCATCATTCTGTACTTCTCTAATATCATTGGAGAGGGTGCGCCCACACTGGATGGGCAGCCCATTGAATTTTATTCCGAAATGGGATAAGGCTGTCTATTCGGGCCCTACGGTCCAGCCCGTCGGGGCACACGGGCGCTTACGCACTGACCTGACAGAAGCCGTACCGCTGACACGACGAGGCTGGACTGACGCCATTTAGTGTGCCAGAAAGATGTGGCAATGCATTGTTGCTTAATAACACGTGCGAGTCTTGTGAGATTCCCCGGATAACCGGCCAAGACCTAAGCTGCATCGCTGTTCAGGCAAGACTCGTGCATTACAGCAACATATCATACCTATAGATCACGGCGCAGTGGCACACAGAAATAAGATCAGATCACAGATCCGGTTCAAACCTGGTAACAAGGCACGCGCCCTTTCCGCTGTCCTCCCGCGCAGTCCACCTTGCTCGCTTCCCCCAGCGCGCACTGTATGGCGCGCGACATCGCGACCTCCACTCCGCCATCTTTTCACTCCCATATCGCCGCTCCTATGTCGCCACTCCCTCCCCCCCGCCTTAACTGACCGTCATGTGACCCCCACCGCCATGGCTGCCCCCCCAACCATCTTCCCCTTCACCCTCCGCGAAGCCCTTTATGGCAACGACACCCTCGAGGCCTGCGTCTCGTCCGTCACGCACGTCTGGCCCGATGCCGTGCACCGCCGTCTCCTTCTCTTCAGCCCCATCCTCGACCGCCCCAAGCAGGCCCTACAACATCTTCTCGAGCTCTTCATCCTCCACGTATGCCAAATGGAGACGCCTTCGGACCCGCTCTGGCTCACAAACCTCATCCAGTACCTAGCCCACGCATCCGTTCACCTCATCCCGGATGCCAAGCCGGTGCGCGCCACCCAGTGGGTTGCCGCCGTGTGCGAGCGCGGAGGGAAGACTCGAGCGGCCGCCAGTGTGCTGGAAAGAGCTATCCCCGAAATCTCCCCGTGGACTCCAAGCTCATCATTAACATTCTTTCCTCCTACGCCTCCTCGTTCACGGAGCCCGACATCTCCAAGCTCGAAATCGCGTCTATGACGGGGCTCATGGACGAGCCGGCTAAGACGGCTGTCATCGTATACGCCTGGTTTCTTGCATCCTTGGACATTCGGAACGGGTGGCTCCGCAAAATGTTGAACTCCGACCTCGGCCGCCGGGAGCGCCCGAGAACCGCCCCACCGAGCCAGAAACCAAGGGGAGGAGGGCGTCTCGGTCGGTTATCAGAGGAGCCCCATACCATTTTCTCGAATCCATTTATCAATAGAATAGGACATCTCGTTTGGTACACAGTCCGGCAGGCCATCCGCGGCGAAATCATTGGTGGCCCTGCTTGCTCCTACGCGCGCGGGAACAACGTGCGCATGCAGTGCTCGAAGGACCTTGCCAAATCGGTGCGCATCCATCACAGCCAAATATGCAACCTCGAACGGCTGGATTTCAGGCTGTGGGAGTCGTGGAGCCACTCGGTGCGCGCAAGCGGCCCGTATGCTAGTTTGGGGTGCCACGCGCTTTCGGCGAGACGGGTGAAATTTGATGAGCCAGTGAGGTTGGAGGATGCGCTGGCAGTCGGTTTTCGCGTCGTGGACGATACCCTCGTGAGTCCCAATGGCAAAGAACTGGTGGTGTCCAGACGGAAAGATGGGTTCTATTCTGCGAGGAGCCCCATCTTGTTGTCGACGGAAGCGGGTCCCGTGAAATGGCGAGCAGGGATGTTGTTCACTTGAACGACAAGGTATTCAGACGTGCAGATATCAGATTACCGGTTTTGTTGCTTGCATGCCATGGATACCAGTTTGTTGGGCTTTTGTCACGTTTCGGGAGTGGGCAGAAGCCAGCTCCAGCACGGAGAGATGTATCAGTCGCTGCAGTGACTTGTGAAGAGGCACGATCATTCCTCCCTCGCGGCGGACCCAACCTCAACTGAATGAAAAATCACGAAGCAGCGTATTCGACGGCGACCCGTGAATCGCGCATCTTGCAAAACACGGCCCTTTCACGTGTGCGTCACCATTGTGGCCGGGTTTTCATGTACAGGGGGGGGGGGCTCATTAATGCACATTTGAACAATGCATATGCCCAGTATTGCGCCCCTATGAGCCGGAACACGAGTCTTACACGTGTCAGATTCTCCGGACGGATACTGTACTCCCCGGTTAATGATGTTCTAGAAAGGACAAAGGAAGTTCACATTTTGGAGTTAGAGGTCCTTTCAAGCGCAGGAAAGCTAGAACAAAGAGGTACCGCCGAAGACAGAGTTCAAGAAATCCCCCTTCCTTCTGAGGTGCAAAAGGCATTTAAGGAGGTTGAGGATCTTGCACAGCGGACTGGGGTTGTGGTTGCCGCAGACGGGTTGCGCAAGGCAAAGCGTGCTTTTATGGATGCATTCGGCGAGCAGAACGAGAAGAGGAGGACGCAAACTATGATTCATGAGTTCTTTACTGTGTGATCGCACACACAAATGGCTTCCATTATTGCACATCGAGAGTACTGCACCTTTTGTGCTTACGACACGGGTGTGCACTGATGAGCGATACCCACTGTAACGGTAATCCACTGTAACGGTAATCTTATTTCAAAATTACAATGCGATTACTGTATAGTTGAAAATTTAGGAACGAGTGCTGGAACTTTGTAGACGCCCTGGGACGGCGATAAAAGAGGAGGCTCCATGGGCTGAGGAGGGGATGGAGGAAGGAGGAAGGGGGGAAGGGGGACGAGCCAAAAAGTAAACCAACAGCAATGCCCGGAAACACGAGCAAATAGAGCTAATGTTAGCTATGGTTGTTAACAACCATATTGCCGAATTGTTCGGACGCTGACTGTTATGATAAGAGCACATGCCGCCATCGGTTCAAGGGCCCAGCGGTATGAGCTCGAGCAAGGGCCCGAAATCCGTCCATGTTCAACCCCTCCCCTTCTCCTCTTCCTGCCTGATGCCTCACGCATCCACTGCATGGCATTCTGAGGCCAAGTTCTGCTCGCTCTCGCAAAGTGGCTTCATCTCTATCAACAATCCTCGGCTGTGGCACAGGCCTTGTACGCTGGACCTGTGACTGCTGCATGGTTGCTCCAGCAAAAAATGGTACCACTCAGGCACCAAATTGTTCGCCTCGCAGTAGAAGGAGGGGCAATATCACGCTTAGTGCTACCACCGCAAATTTTTCTCGAGACAAAAAGCAAGTCGCTTTCTTTTGAGACACCATATTTTTGAGGGCGCTCGCATCCAAAATTCGCAAAATGAATTAAAATAAGTACACATTTTTACTTCTCAATCGAGGTCCCATCCATGACCTTTCAAAAAAAGGTTCATACCACGCGCTCTAAGAGAGCCTGCCTTTTCAGCGCACAGCCCATTCTTGCAGCAGCCCGAAAATTACAAGGAAGGCGAAGCGAGAGCGGCTCCGGTGGCGAAGCCAGGGCCGGCCATGCCGAGAACGGAGCCGACGCCCTCGAGAGAAGAGGAAGCGATGCCGGCGTCAGTGTCAGCGGCGGCACCTGCAGTGGTAGTACCTTCGGACTGGAAGCCAGCTCCCGAGGCGAGGATGCCGTTGATGGAGGCACGGGAGACCGGGGCGGCGGCGACGGCGCCGATGAGGGCGAAGATGGCGGCGATCTTGGCAATCATTGTGGGGTAGTGGTTGTGGATGGTCGGAAGATGCTGAGAGTGTGAATGAGCTGTGATGCAGATGATGAAGGTGTTGTAGATGGAGGCAAGTTTTATAGGGGGAGATGGCGAAATCTTTCGTCCGGTTTTTTTCCACATTTTGCATGTGAACGCCTAGAGTTCTATCGGTAAAGCCCATAGGCATACGCTAACCGTACAACCGCACCTCGTTCGGGCCCACGCTTTGTGAATTTGATGTGTGAAATCCCTGTTGGTGGAGGCCTGGTTCGAAGGGCATTTGCACCTTTCCACGAAATTGCACCACCAATGTAAACATCGATGTCTCTGCCATTGAGGCCACTTTCAACAACTGTATGCAACTGCAACTGTAGGTCTGTGGTCCTGCGTAAACGTCCCGTTTCTAGGTTCTGTTGGGGCATTTGGTTTCCCCACACGTTTATTTACAGGTCTCCTTGCCCCCTCTTCTTGAGAGCTCTTGGGGTATCAAATACTCTTCAAGGTGGAACTAACGCCTTGGGCAAAGGGCAGCATACAGTATACAGTGAGAGAAAGACTCGAAACATATAGCGCAATTGCTTGTGCAAATCTGGTCCCTCAAAGAAGTTGTTTTTATAGGACCGAAATCACTTGCCCAACGACAGACTTTCATCTTCCGATGCGCTCCCATTTTTTACAAACTACGCAAGAGACTGTTATCTGCAATTATTCGGCCAAGATGTGTTATGAAACAGTGTACAAGAGCTTTGGTTTTACATATTCTAAGGTCAGATTCCTTGCACGCGGATGGAAAATAATTATACGGTAGCTTCAAATGCACGCCAGAACCCCCGAATCAATAAAAACGTGAACTCTACACTTGATCATGACATGTGTACACTACACAAACTTGCTTCATCAGGAATATCTTTTGATTTCCATTTTCTAAGCACCTTGGAGGTTTGGACAGCAGCTGGAATGTTGCCTGTACTGTAAGTGAGCCTGTGAGAGCACGAGTCCACTTGCATGTTTGATTCAAGGATGATAGTGCAGAATAATGTTGCCTTCCCCGGCATGCCGACATGAAGCGTCCCATGAAACATCCAGCGTACATTCTTGACCCAAGCTCAGACGAAAGTCTTGTTCTCTATCGTTTGTCGAATTGGCTGCGCTCTGGTATTATTTTCGAAACGATCTGACCGTTATTCATATATGCCTATCTCTTATTTTAAATTCGGTCTTTCGTAGAGAGACTTTTCCTTAGTAGAAAGAGTACAGACTGATACTTTCGGTGGTCAGGAGATACTATTCTTGAGAGACCTCAGCATAGCAAAGGTTAAGGAAGCGGAAAAAGAAGCAACTTATGGTTTTCGGGTATTGCTTTCCGCACAGTTGGTCAGAAAACGAAGGTGTTCTTGATGGGACTTTGAAAGGTGTCGTTTTACATATTTTACAAATACGAAGGTAGGCTACAGCTTCAGTAACATTGTTCTGTTCTAACCTTTGGTGAGCTATGACGGCGGATCGAAAGCCATCACATATCCGTGGTTCGTTCTTGAACGTTGCAATTACAAAGAAGGCGAAGCGAGAGCGGCTCCGGTGGCGAAGCCAGGGCCGGCCATGCCGAGAACGGAGCCGACGCCCTCGAGTGAAGAGGAAGCGATGCCGGCGTCATTGTCAGCGGCGGCACCTGCAGTGGTAGTACCTTCGGACTGGAAGCCAGCTCCCGAGGCGAGGATGCCGTTGATGGAGGCACGGGAGACCGGGGTGGCGGCGACAGCGCCGATGAGGGCGAAGATGGCGGCGATCTTGGCAATCATTCTTGGGAGTTTGTGTGTGTTCAGGAGAAGAAGATGGGTAGAGGGATGGTGTTGCGGTGAGTGGTGAGAAGAAAAAGGATTTCATGAGTATCCCCCAGGCTATATAGTGCTTCGGTATGAGTCTTGAACTGAACAAAGCGAACAGCACACAACAATTTGGACCGACTGGGAACGGAAAAGCTAGCATTATTACCAAGCAAATGTTGGTACCGCACTGTAAAAGGTAATTCTGTGTTCGTGAGTCGCCTGTCAGACGTTTTAACATCCGCTGTATGTTCTGAATCGACAATAAAGGGCAGGGTGGGATGGTGTGTCGCGAGAGTTTGTCCTTATCAAAGGCCCTTCGATGCTTGAACACTTTGGCCTAGCGCAAGTGATTACTTCATAGTATGATGTTGCAACCGTTGACGGGATGTGGCAGCACTTCGTGCTGGAGTTCTTATCAGGCCATGAGGGTTTTTAGGAGATGCGCCACGGAGTTGAAACAACATGTTGCAATACTTGAAGCCGTGTCAGGAGTCTTGAAGAAGGTTTGTGGATTCAGATCGATCCCTGAATGTCTGAATCTGTGTGTGTGTGTTTGACAGGCGCAAGTTTGACACAGTCCTTCGATTATGTACTAGTACCCTTCGCGAAGGGTACTGTAAAAGATAAAGACGCGTACTCGCGTCAAAAATGCAGCAGCTTGCAATTGTGGAACTGCCCATGAGAATGAAAATGCCAGCTATCATGATTCCGGTCTGCTGCATGTACCACTAGCTCGCTCTAGGGTGCAGTATTATTCTTTAAGGACAGCATGTTGACCTGCAACTAGGAGCTGATTGTTACCCTTTTGATGATACAGTACAGGCGTACTCCCAGTTGTGCCCATACGTGCAAGCCAATAGAATGTGCACTGTTCCGAGATGTACAACGTTCAGAAGTGACAACGTCTATGAGGGTAAAACGCAGTGAGGACATCATCTGCCTCTAGTTGTTTCAAGGCCGCTGCCGACATTTCTATTGTGGCAAAAGGCAACGCCACATCTTTAAGTGAAAGTGGAGTTAAAGATGTGGCGTTAGTGAAAGTGGAGTTAGAGTCATCTCTATATTGTCCTTTATCAGGCTGAATATCGCTGTGTGAATCATTCATGTCAGACCGCACAGGACAGTCTGTCCTTCAGGATAGACTTATAACTAGCGAGCGACGACGAGTAAACGAGGAGGCATCGGTCTTCTGTTCACACAGGTTATGGGCACCTTTTGCTACCTTGCATAATTCAACCTTCCCCGCTTCACGATCGCAACCCACCACGACAAGAACAAACCGATCCCTCCCAACGCGGAGGAGCCCCAGGCTAACCCCATCTCAGCCCCTCACCTACATCCCTCCACCGACAAATCCTACGACATCAACACAAAACACGACAAACCAAACGACAAACTACACAACAAACCACACGACAAATCACACTACATCTCACATCACAAACAACACTCACCAGGACATACGCACCATGGAAAAACGCCCCGACATCCCCCGCCTCGACCCGACTAACTACGGGCCGTGGATCGTGGCCACTCGAGCGGCAGCACATACGATTGACGCCATCGAGCACATCATCAGCAACCCCACTCCCCCACAAGACCCCACCGATCTAGCACCATTCAACCGCAACAAGAACTACCTACTCGGCAAGCTGATCACGTCCATACCAGCCCACATAGCCAACCTCCTACTCACCCCCACAAGCGATCCAACTCCTTACGATCTCATACAGGCAGTCACTTCTCACTTGGACACAACCAACGCTTCAGACCACAAATACCTAAAGCAGCTAGCCGAGCAGACACACTTTCTGCCCGGTATGACTCTTGATCAGTACATCAAGGCCCATGAGCAGATCAGAACCAGAATGATCGCAGCACGGTTCCCAGAAATAGCCGACCCCAAAACAACAGTAGAGTTCCTCATCGACGGCCTGCGGTTCAACCCCGCCACGGCCGCGATTGGCAGCCAACTCATTGCCCTGGACCCCAAAGACACAAAAGACTTTGTGCACAAGTTCAATCGAATGGACCTCTACCGGCAAGCGTCACAACCAAGCACCTCTCAAATACACGGCGACGCCGGAGGCTCAATTTTTTTCAGAAATACAGCCTCGGCCCCTCAACGCTACAACCGTTTCTACCGCCGGAACCTCCCCGTACCATCCAATCCATGCAGATTCCACATGTCAAGAGGTGTCTCCCACCCCCGGCACACCGACGCCGAGTGCAATCACGCAGCACACCCCCGCCACCGTACCCGTCAACCCGTACGCACCAAGCCGTACCAGACGGCACGGGGCGCTCAACGTCACG